GTTTGTTAAGTTTTTTTTCATTACTATTTTTCCATTAGTTTTTTTTAATATAAATTTTTAATGTTTATTGTATTATTATGCAATATAAATAAAGCAGATTATAGCATTAATCCCTTAATTAATGTCTTTCAGTTAATTTCTTTCCGCAATTAAAATAATAGAAATTTAATTATTTATTGATTTATCATCAACCATTATTTATTTTTATTAAAAAATTGCATTGTAACATCAATTTATATTAGGAAAAGATGTTTTTGAAGCATTTTACAAAAAAGATTTAGCAAAAAGACTATTACTTGGTAAAAGTGCCTCAGTTGATGCCGAAAAGTCAATGTTGTCTAAGTTAAAGCAAGGTTTGTTTTAATATTCATTTCAAGTTAAAAGTTAAGCAAGGTTGTTTAATTTTTTTTGTGTCATTTTTTTTTTTTAAATTACTGAAGATTAAAATCGAAAGGTATTTAATAATTTTTTTAACTGAATTATTTTGCAGAGTGTGGCGGTGCATTCACTGGCAAACTGGAGGGGATGTTTAAAGATATGGAACTTTCAAAAGACATCATGAGTAGTTACAAACAAGTAGCTTCCTAATTTTTTCTTATTGTTTGGTTTTCTTCAATAAAACAGAGAAATAAACTAGCTTGTCTGTTACAGTAGGCTTACAGTAGGCTTGTGTAATGATGATTACACATTATGTTTTACAGGCCTTCTCAGGAGACGCGTGCGGTCGCACGCCTTGAATGATCACGCATATATATTTTTTTTGTTGATAACATGGCCACGGTTTTTTTTGGCATTTATTAAAAATAACGCATTTTAAAAACGCCCTGATTAAATCAAACTAATTAGTCATCTTATTGGTTTTTTTTTATTATTAATAATTTATTATTATAATTGTTTATGAGAAAATAAAAACCTAACAATAATGCACATATATATATTTGTAATTAATGATAAAATAAAAAGATAAAAATAATATATAAATATATATATATATATATATATATATATATATATATATATATATATATATATATTTTATTTGTTTTCATGCGTTTAATAAAATTCTGATGATTTTTCGTTAAGTTTTTGTTTACTAAATAAATTATGTCATTAAGTAATTATTATTTCTTCCTGTTGGCTCGACAGGGTTTTAACTGAAACTTTTTATATAGGAGAATTTAAAAAAAAAACTTTTTTTTTTTTATATGTATTAAAATTATTTATTTTATTGTTGTTGTTTTTTGTTTGTTTGTTTATGTACTATTATTTTGGTTGACATATAGATGTTTAGAAAAGATTTAAAAATTTAACTTAACAGCATTTTAAAAATTCAATCTTATAAAAATAAAGCAATACGCATAAATGTAAGAAGTGTAAATAAAAACTTGGACAAACCATGACTCAATTAAGTAATAATGTAAAACTAAAATATTTTTCTGAAGTTGCTCTTGGTCTTGCAAAAATACTATTTCCGGTTTAATAACTTTCATGAATGTTATGAAAAATCATTCAGGAAGAGTGCCACCAGTTTTTAAAAAATTTCTTTGTTAATTATTTTTAATGAATGAGTTCAATACTTATGCAATTCTTTTGTTACGTAACTCTAACTCTTAAAAAAATCATGATAACCGCTCGATAATGTAAGTGATGTAATTTAAGTAAAAAAAACAAGTTCATTTAAAAAAAGTTTTTATTAAAATTTTAAATTGGTATAAAATTCTCTGCATTTTGTAAAAGTTTCTAATACAAACTGCTTTACTGATTCGCAGAAATGAGACCTATAAGTTGAATTTCTTTTTTTACCTTGTTTTCCGTGTAACATAAATGCAAGTGGCATTTTTAGTAATAAGTTTGCTCTCTTCTGGCCGAACTCAAAACTTTTAAGCTTATTTTATTTATTAGACTAACAGCTTTCATACAAAATTGCTAAAAGTTTAATTTAAAAGTTTAAATAAGCAAATATTTGATAAAGTTGTTGCGTGTGTAATGTAAGTTAAAAATGGAATTGCCCATATATATTGCCCAAAGAGTGTCGCTAAAAAGACCCAGCTTTATTACAACAGTATTCCATACAATAGTTATACAATATTCCATACAAGAATGCATGATAGTTTAATAATACAGGTAGATAATAATAATAAGTAAAAATGATGACCACAATAAAGAGAGGTAAAATTACCACCAATTCATTTGATAAACAATTTTCAGTAGTTATTACTAAAATACAGACAATGATGTGACAAATATTTTTTAAATGATGTTATAAGGCTCGCTATTTATTTTTGTACATAACATTTATTTAATTAAAGCTTGTTTAAAATGTAAAAAAATTATGATGTATTAATAAGCAAAAAAAGCTGTAAAATGTAAAATTCTGTTTTAAATGTATTACAAATTGATTACTCAACTTAATTCTCTGCACAACAGCCTTGATCGTCAAGGTTTGTTTTTCAGGGTTATAAAGTTGAAAGATGGTTGTAACCACATAAGTAGCCTCCTTGACTTTGGGAGGTGAATAACTATAAAAATTAAAAAATAAAAAACTTGGTTGCTCCTAAAACTTCCAAAACTTTCTGGAATGCAAATTACTTTTTGAAAACAATTCTTGAAAATACAAAACAAAACAAAACAACAACAATAAAATTCCTAGAAAAGTTTTTTTGCAAAATGATAAAATTTATTTGTGCAATATCAATTAAAGATCTAAAAATTTTATCATATTTCCTATATATTAATAAATACATATATTCTCTATAATAATAAAGAAATTTTTATATATACAATCAAGGCCAAGAATAACCAACCAAATTTGTTTTCTTAATTTTTTTTCCAGAGAAATTAACTTTTCATGTTTTCTCTGTTTTTTATATTAAACTTGAGTTTCATATTAAATCTAAGTTTATTTTGTGATTATATTATATTCTTTTCATGGCTTTTTATGCTTTAATATTTCAATAAGATTTTTAATAAGATAGAAATAAAATCTGTATATAGACAGGGTTAAATTTAACTTCAGTTCTTTTAAATATTTTAAAATAAATGATTTAGTAATAAAAAACTCAAAAAGTGTTTCAAATAGTTATTTGAAAAATAACTGTATGAAACATACAACTTTATACTAACATACAACTTTATACAACTTTAAATCTTTCTGTATTTTTCTTTAACAGATTTATCAATTAACAAGTCAAAATCAATTATTTCATCAAAAAATTAATAATTATTTAAAATACCTTGACTCATAGTAGATTTTAAATAATATTTAATTAATTTTAAGTGATTAAACATAAAATATTCTTCTTTTTTGAAAAAAACGGTATAGCTTAAGGTAAGCATAAAAAGTGAGCAAATGCTTATCAAAACACGCTTTAATAAGTGTATATATATATATATATATATATATATATATATATATATATATATATATATATATATATATATATATATAAATATATATATATATATATATATATATATATATATATATATATATATATATATATATATATATATATATATATGTATATATATATATACAGTGTTTCAGTAAAATTTAGAACTGCTTACATTTTTTTTTCAATACTCGACAGAAAAACTTGAATAGAAATTAAACGGATTAAGATTTTTCAATTATTTTATTAAATAAGGTATGTTTTATAATTTAAGTAAAAAAAATCGCAAAAAAATATTAAAAAAAAAAAAAATGAAAGAAAACAAGTAGACATAAAAAATAAGGATAACAAAAAAAATCAGTTAAATATAGCACATTTCAAAAAAATGACCACCGTGGGCTTTTATACATGAAAGAACTCTCCTAGGCATAGACTCAATCAATTTCATGCAGAACTCTTTTGGAATACTCTTCCATGTCTCTTCTATCGCTTGCTTTAAGTGCTCAACCGATGTCAGCTTGGTTCGCATTAATTGGCGGTTCATCCGAGCCCAAAGATTCTCATTTGGATTCAAATCAAGCAATCGGGCGGGCCAGGGCATCCCTTGGATCTTTTTCTCTGAAAACCAGCCTTTTATTGACTTGGCAGTGTGTGCAGGATCAGCCCCATCTTGCTGAAAAATCCATTTGCGTCTTCCGAAAAATTCACGGGCTGATGGAATTAAATGCTGCTCCAGAGTTGTTTTGTAGTTATATTGATTGATCCGACCGGTGTACGTATTGCAGAGACCAATACCTTTATGAGAGATGCAACCCCAGACTCCTGCTGACCCTCCTCCACCTTGTATTCTTGGTGAATGAATACTTCTGCCATTTTTTTCTTTTGACATAAACTCGTCCTTTGCAATTTATGACCTCAATATTGGATTCATCACTGAAAATACACATCGCCCATTCTTCTACTAACCAACTGGCATGTTCTTGGCACCATTTCAGTCGTCTCAATCAGTCTCGTATTGTCAAAAGTGGCTTCCTAGCAGCAATGTACAAAATGATTCCTTTTTCCTTTAAAACCTTTCTTACCGTTTCATAGCTAACACTATGATTTCTGAATGAGGTATTGAAATCCTCGGCTAATTCTCGGAGAGTAATTTTAGGTTCGGCATTAACCTTTCGTATGAAGAAGTTTTTGTCTTGGTTACTAAGCTTTTCTGGTCTTCCATAGCGTGGCATATCTTTGACTCTCTTTCTCAATTTGTAGTTTTTTATCGTTGTTGAGACACATTTTCGTGAAACATCCAACTCTTTTGCTATTTGTGTGTCAGATTTATCTGTATTTTGTTTTAATGCAACAATCTGCCATCTAGTTGCATCATCTAGTTGCATCATCTACTGGTTTTTTACCCATTTTTTTACAAAAAATGTCTGGAAGTACTAACTATCTTAACTTTATTTCTAATTTGAATTTTTTAGAAATTTTTTAGTAGTGAACAAATACACAAAATTTCAAATTCAAAAATTAACAACTTTTTATGATATGTGATTTCAAAGTCATGTGCTAAATTTAATAGATAATTTATATCAGCTTAGAAAATTACCTCTAATTACTTAGTCTTAATTTAAATCCAATTAGCAATTTTTTTATTTCAATTAAAATCACATCTGATAAACAATCTTATAATATTTTAAAACGATTTATATACAAAGTGATAAAAATTATGGCATTTTTATCACTTTGTATATAAATCGTTATTAACATTTTAAAATACCTTAACTATTTTTATTTATTAATTTTATTTATATATATATATATATATATATATATATATATATATATATATATATATATATATATATATATATATATATATATATATATATATATATATAAAGAGAGAGAGAGAGAGACAGTCTGGATTGAGTAAAAGGGAGTAAATTCCAATTTACTCTAACCACCAAGGGACCAATAAAAATGGGCTAAAATGAAATGAATATTCAACTAAAGCACAAAGTTAAGCAATATATATATATATATATATATATATATATATATATATATATATATATATATATATATATATATATATATATATATATATATATATATATATATACATATATATAATTAATTATTTTTTTAGATGGTTCAGCTTCAGAACACTTCTTCTGGCATTGATCTAAATGTAAACATATTAACAATGGGATATTGGCCTACTTACACACCTATCGATGTTCTTCTGCCTAATGAAGTATTGTAAATTTTTTTATTATATACATATATATATATATATATATATATATATATATATATATATATATATATATATATATACACATATACATATATCAAGTATTGTTGAGGTTTTATTGTGTAATGAAAACAATTAGCGCAAATAAATGTAACTTTAACACTGCTTTGATATTAACATTGTTAAAAGTTAAATTGCGTATTTTAAAGTACTGCATTATATTTAAATTTAATTTTAAACCGCGTTAAAAATCATTTAAACTAATATTACAAAACTGGTGAAATCTAAAGTTGATATTTGAAAAAGATTATACAGTAGAATCCCATTAACTCGCACTCTGAACGGGTATATATACATTGTCCGACTTAGTAAATGTCAAACTTAAGCAAAGCTTTTGGTATGTATAGAGAATTCAAGGGGGGTTGAAAATTTGTCCCACTTAGTTAAAGTCCGACTTATCCAGGGTCTGAGTTAACAGGATTCTAATGTATTTTCTTATAATTTATTTCTTAAAACAATCTTATTTTTAAAATAATCTTTTGTTTCTTATTTTAACTTTTTTATATATATTTTTTATGTGTTTAATATAATATTTTTATACACAAATATAAACAAATTAAAGATTAAACAATTTAAATATAATTTATGTTTATAAATAAATCATGTCAAAAAAACTTTACTCAATATTGAAATAATAAGATACAAAATCTATATACATTTGTGAAAAATTCTCTTAAACAAAAACACTTCTCCCATTTTTTTTTTTTTTTTTTTTAAATAAAGGTTTTTTATTTGCTTTAACATATTTTAATCTGCGAAACTTAAGGCTTAAGTTTTTGTAATAAATTAGTTAGCAGATAAAATGTGGTATGCATAACACTTCTTAACAAGGCCAAGCCCTGATTTATATGTTAGGGTTGTTGAAAAAATAAATACGTTATTGAAAAAATAAATATGTTATGGAAAACTGGTTTTTGGTGCAACTGAATACGGCAAACAAGCCTATAACATAATAAGTTTATGTGTCAGGTAAAATATCCCAATTTTTTAACTAACATTTTACACTTAATAAAATTAAAACTCATGGGAGCAAAAATTACAGATCTTTTTTTGTTCTCAGGCTCCAATCATTGCATTTTTTTTTACCAAAACATGCTTATTCAACATAAGTATAAATATATAATTGTTTAGAATTTGCTCCATGTCTGGAAGTTAGACAAGGAAAGAGCTCGGTTCATAGTTGTTGAATTGTGGATACAAAAAGTAAAAAAGGTTAAAAATATACAACAGTCAATTTTTTTCATATACCTGTAAGGCTTTACCTATTGGTATTTAACTTAAACTAACTTCTGCCGGATATTGGATATTAAGTTGTTTAAAAATATGACTTCTTCTAATCCTTAAGTAAACCTTTTTTTGTGTTGTGCAGAAAACAAAAAAGCAATTTTGGCAGCCCTACTAATATTTTCTTCAAGCTCTTTATTATTCCTTCTTTAGAAGGTTATATGATTACAAGCCTGTGCTATCACAACTTATAACTAGTATATTGGACAATATGCAATCTGCAATGTCTTTGATTTTACTAGATTTTGGTGAAACATTTAATAGGTATTTATTTTCAAGTTCAGCAATCCGCATGTATACTCTTCATTTTTTAGTGCCCACATAAAGTTTATCTGTTTTTCTCACCCTGGTTAATGTATGACCATTTTAACCATCAAAATACAGTTAAGTAATGTTATCAATACGTGTATTATCATTTTCTTGAAACTTTGGTCTTTACTTTTCTTTACTTTACTTCGGTCTGCCACCAAAATTCACCAATACAATTTGTTATTTGATTGTCATTCTTAGTTTAATGATCACAAAATTATTATATGAATTCATCTGAATTACCTGCTTTTGTTATATAGGCTTTTCTCTGTTCTCTGTTCAAGTTACCAGGAATGTTCTCTAACATTCCTGGTAACTTGAACATTGGCATCAATGTGCATTCTTTACAATTTAATATGCTTGATTTTCATTAGCTTAACCTAGCTTCTTTGTTTATTATGACGGTGAGCCAGTAATAACTGTTTTAGAATAAATGGTAGGACAGTGCATCCAGCACTGTCAATATTTCCACTGCAATAGTTTTAACATATCATTTCTAATTTTATCAAAACACTGTTGCATTCTGTGCATTTGGCTCTTCTTTGAGTTTTACAAAATATCAGACAACTTGATTGATTTTAGGCAGCTCATTCTTTGATAAACCAACAGGATGACAAAATATGTAGCTGCTTACTCTTTGCTTGATGTTGAAGGTTGATTTAAAATATTTTATTTTATTTTAATTGAAACCATTTTCATTTACTGATTTACACTAAAAAAGAAGTATAGAATAAATGAAACATGACAAAGTTATGTTCATTTTACCCACTTGAACAATATATGTATTGAAAAATAACAGCGCAATTTCATTGTTAATGAAATTGCGCTGCGTATAATATTTACTTTTTGAGTTTTCATTAACAATTTCATTGTTAATGAAAACTCAAAAAGTAAATATTATACTATAGCAAAATCAAAAAAAAAAAAATCAAAACCAGAATTAACTGTATTAATAGAATAAACTGATGTCAAAGGATTTATGATATTTTTACAGTTTATGCCACTATTAAGTAAACAAACAAGGCTAAAGATTAACACTTTTAAAATTATGACTATAAAAGTATATTGAATTATAAATATTTTACTGTCTAACAGTAATCCTTAGATTAAAATTCTTAATTTATGCCTAATTTAGAGAGTTATAGGATTCAAATTTTTAAGAATATTGTACTTTAATTTTATCATGATCTATGTTTAAAGTATTAGGTTGTAGAGGTGTATCCAATTTTTAAATTGACATAACCTTTTATCTCTTACATGAGATAATAGGTTACTGTCTTAGCACCCAAAATTTTATAGAATAATTATATAAATTTTATAATAATAATTTTATATTTATTGTAAATATTATCAAGTCTCTGATCAAAATTTCAGAACAATAGAATATCAAAAATTGGGTTTAAAAACCTGTTGTAAAATTTAGTTGTATGGAAACATACAAAACCAAAAGTTAATAGAAATAATTCAAAAATTAGGGTGTTTGCGTTATTATTTTTTTAGTTGTTGTTTTTTTTTACACATTATGCATTCACTTTTACAAAAGCCACATTACTTTCAAAACCCAAACCCACAAATTGTGTGTTCCCAAACCCAACCTCTCAGTTAATGTTGTGAAATAAACTATTGTAATATGACATCTTTATGCAAACATCTGCACTTATTGTTTTAAAAATTAATATTAATAGATAATACAAGTTTTTTTCCTTAGTGTATTGTACACATTTTTGTATGCAGTTAAAATTTCATCTTTTATAGTATGCTTAGTATGCATTTTCCTTTATTAGCTTTTTAAAGTTTTTTTACAATTTTTATATGCAGATGGTGAAACTTCAGGAGGTTTTTCATAAGTTTTATTTGAGTAAACACAGTGGAAAGAAGTTACAGTGGCAAACAAATCTTGGAAGTTGTACAGTTTTAGCTTGTTTTCCATCAGTCAGTTGGTTAAAGTTATATTTGCAATTTGTTTCAATTTATGACACATTTTTTCATTTTTAAGTCTTTTAAAAATTTATAACACATTTTTTCATTTTTAAGTCTTTTAAAAATTTATAACACATTTTTTCATTTTTAAGTCTTTTAAAAATTTATAACACATTTTTTCATTTTTAAGTCTTTTAAAAATTCTGGTAGGGAAATCATGAGCTGCACGTATCGTTGTTTCAACTTTTGTGTTTGCTTCAATTTAATGAAGGTGATGAATTTTTATTTGAAGATCTTCTTACAGCTACAGGAATTGGTAAAAAATTTTGTTTTAAATTAACAATAAATAAAAATAATATATACTAACATAAATTATTTTTTTTTATTCTATGAGTAATTTTTTTTTGATATCATTTCAAATTTAATTTTAGAAGAGGGAGAGTTAAAAAGGACGATACAATCTTTAGCATGTGGCAAAATCAGAGTCTTGCGGAAATTACCTCAAGTAAATTTTCTTTTAAATCATTAAAGTTCTTCAAAAACTTTTATTTAAAATCATTTTTTTCTCTTCTGTAAACAATATTACAAATGCTATATTAGAACTACAGTACCTTCTGGTATCTCAAACTATTAAATATGCAATAACATATCCATTGATATTTCATACTATTAAATATGCAATAACATGTCCATTGATATCTCATTCTATTAAATATGCAATAATATGTCCATTGATATCTCATACTATTAAATATGCAGTAACATATCCATTGATATCTCATACTATTAAATATGCAATAACATGTCCATTGATATCTCATACTATTAAATATGCAACTGATAAAAAAAAAATTTTTTAAGGCAATAAAAAAAATAAAAAGATAAAAAAAAAACTTTTTAAGGCAATAACATATCCATTGATATTTCATACTATTTAATAGAATGAAATATCAATGGATAAAGAATTTGTCACCAACAAAAGGGGCGTAATTGTGGCGTACAGCCGAGCTGGGCAAAGCGAAAGAGAGGTTGCAGCATTGTTAAAGGCTTCTAAAACTGCTGTAAACAGTGCAATAAAACCTTTCAATTAAACGAAATCATTCACTGACAAGCAGAGAACAGGGCGGCCAAAGAAGACCACCCCAAGAGAAAATCGAAGCATTTGCAGAATAGTTACAAACAATCCATTTATTAGTTCAGTGACTGTTCAGAAAATGCTCATCGATGTAAGCAATGTAAATGTTTCTTCCAGAACTATAAGAAATAGGTTGATAGATTGTGGCCTCAAGTCCTATCGTCCAGTAAAAAAACCAAGATTGACACCAGAAATGAAAGAAAAAAGATTGAAGTTTGCTCTGAAATATCGAGATTGGACAGAGGAAAATTGGATGAAAGTTCTCTGGTCAGATGAATCTGCCTTTGAACAGTTTGGAATAACTGCAAAACATGTTAGAAGACCAAGCCAAAAACGTTATGATGACAAATATACTTTGAAATCGATGAAACATCCACCATCTGTTATGATTTGGGGTTGTTTCATTGGAAATGGTCGCGGTGCGATAGAGTTTTAAGGAAAAGGAAAACGCATGAATGCTGCCAGATATTTGCGTATCTTAAAATCAAAATTACCTAATTTTTTGACAGTCTTGAAATGCACTCACTTTATGCAGGACTCTGCAACATGCCATACAGCTAAGGTATGCAAGAAATGGTTTCAGGAGAGTCGTATTGACGTGTTAGATTGGCCCGGCAATTCACCCGACCTTAACCCGATAGAGAATTTTTGGAACATAATGAAAATTTGAGTATCAGAAAAGCAGCCTAGAAGCCTTACTGACTTTAAAGAAGTTATAAAAAAAGTGTGGGTGACAGAAATAACCCCTGAAGTGTGCAGGAATTATGCTACTTCAATGAAGAAACGTTTGACAGCTGTCATTGCGAACAAGGACGGTTCAACAAAAAGTGTTTTGTTTTGTACTTTTGATAGTTTTGGTGCTTTAACTTGGTGCTACTTTTGATTTTAGCAAAAAAATTTTAGCTGCGGACATTATTTTAATGCATTTATTTTTTATTTTCGAACCAATTTTTTTGTACTGTAATAATTTTTTCATTAATTTTTCAGTTTTTCGCAAGTGGTCTTAAACTTTTTTCCAAGACTGTATTAAGCATACAATGGTATGCTAAAAGCATACATATTTATTATAATATCTTTAAAATGATATAATGTAACTGTAGAATGTTAGAAAAAACAACAACACTGAAATTGAATTGGCTTCAGCAAATAAAAATTTGATAGTAATAATATAAAAAGTAGTAATTAATAATTATGCAATTGTTATAATTAGTTATTACATTTTTGTATTTTTTTTTAAATAAAATCATAAACGGAGTTATACATATTATTTATTAAAAGTTAAAAGACATTTAAATTATCTTGTTACATATGCTTTGAGTTATTTTGGAGGGTATGTAAGAACGCAGTATGGTAAGCTTAATAGTATCATAAAAGAAGTTGAAATATATATAATAATGTAAGTGTATAAGGATTGTGAATAGATAATAGATAATAAATAACTTGGTAATTATCATGGTCAATTAAGGTTAGGATGTGTTAAAGAGATCCCCAAGTGCGAAGACAAGCTGTGTTCAGATTAAAGAAAACTTTTAAAAAAATGTTTATTTTAAATTTTTTCAATTAAAACAAAATAATAAACCAATACCAAGAAAATCTTAGTATTTTTAGTCATAGCTCACATTCTCCATTTTAGAATTTAAAAGTCTTTAAATTATACTCTTTTTTTTTTGACACAATCTACAGACTTAATAATTTATTTAATTTTTTTTTTTATTCCAAAGAGTTTTAGTATATGACATCATTATTGAATTTTGATAAGAAAATTAAAAGTTCTCAATAATTTTTTTTCTCTGTAAATTACTAAACAATATGTTTAGATATTTTATTTTCTAATTTTCACAAAATTAAAAATATGAATAAAATATTTTTTCAATGTCATCATTTTTATACTGAAACTTTTAAGAACTTAGGGATCTCCTTCTATCAAATTTAAAGCAAAATAAAATTTCAATTTTGTTAAAATGTGTTGAAAACTTTTTGAAAATTTTGGCATTTTAGCTCACTTATAAGAAAATTCTCTGATTAGAAAACACAGACTGTAAGGCTTAGAAAATGTTTATGGAGTGACAGATATTTATCATATTGGTGGCCATTTTTTTTCACTTCGCAGGTTTAATTGTTAAATAATTTTTTAACAAATCTTTTTTTTTTTAAGGGAAAAGAAGTAAACAGAGGGGACAAACTAATATTCAACAAGAAGTTTTCTCATAATTTGTATAAAATAAAGATTAATCAAGTTCAAATGAGAGAAACAGTAAGTGATAAAAAATTTTATGCTGCTATATATATATATACATATATATATATATATATATATATATATATATATATATATATATATATATATATATATATATATATATATATATATATATATATATATATATATAATATACAACCCAGAATTAGGGTCGGCATTCGGCAATGTTGACCTGAAAGTGCTTGAATTGGGCAAAAAATTGCCGACCTCATTTATGTGTTTTATGGTCAGACCTTTGTATCAAATAATTTTTGCCGACCTGATGCCGACCTCAAAAGATTGAGGTCGGCAAATTATTGCCGACCTCATTTTTCCTAATTCCGTGGGTTGAATATATATATCACACACATTTTTACTATATATTGTTTATAATACAATGAATTTTTTAACTTTTAAAAAACTTTCTTAACATAAAACTCAGAAACATTGATGAATACTGAAACATGAAGCTCAATGAATAAGTCTTCTGTACAAAGAAACATGAACCTAAATAAGGGTTCTGCACAGAAATACAAGTACAATATGTCATATACCATTGTTTTTAAATTTATATACCATTTTTTTAAAATTTATATACTATTATTTTTAACTTTGTTTGGATTAAATTTGGCTTTATAAAAATTCATATTATATTGCTTTGGTAAATACTCTTTATTATTGAGGTTAAAATCCATGCCTCTGGAAGTACAATGCTCAACCTGCGTAGTGGCCTTAACAAGGTTTGTGTTTCAGTGACTATTGTGATATTGTGGTAGTAGTCCAGTGGCAAAAGATTGTCTTTGCTCCATTTTAAGGTTGAATTAGTTGAATAAGGTACAATAAAGTGAGAAAAATTAAAATAATAAAGAGTGGCCTCCTCTTATCTCTGCATTCATTCAAACTATCTTGCATCATTCAAACTATCTTGCATCATTCAAACTATCTTGCATCATTCAAACTATCTTGCATCATTAATATTGCAAATATGTGTAATTACCTTAAGATATATTGTTACTGTTTCTAGTAACATTGAAAAAAAGCTAAAATTAATTAAAGTATACTTTTGTATACAAATTTATTCTGCCACCCCTCTTCTTTCATAAAATTTATTGGAATATTCCATTAGTTAACTAAATATGTAATAGTTGTTCCAAATTCTAAATGAAATAAATTTTTTGTTATAGCTAAAAAAATTTATATCAAAGTTGATCGGCATTCTAAATGAAATAAAGAACTTCAAATATTTATAACAAACTCAAATTAGTAATTGATTTTATAATAATTAAAAATATAATTATAATTGTTTAATTCTTCATGGAATAAACAGGGAGGATGTGGACACCATTATACTATGAAAAAATCATTCCATTTAAATCAAGATCTTTTTCATGCGGGCACTAACATTCACACCAGGAGGCATTTGAGTAAGAATTTGAGCTTAAAATCAGTATGTCCTTCGCAACCAAACTCCATTTCGCTGTGAAGGACATACAGATTTCAGTTTTTTTTTTTTTTCAGTCGGTTTTTGGAGTGATTATTGATCTTCCACAAAATTTTCCTGGATTGATGCCATCTGTTGACTTGATGTGTTAAACGTTATCATGAAGGAATGTTTTATGCATTTTTAAACATGTAGCAACATTCATTCTATTTATGGTTTTAGAGACAACAATATGACATATATGCACCAATCATTTTTTCAGTTTAAGCTTTTGTAAACAACAATGTAAAATAAAATTTTACATAAAACCAAATGTTGTAAATGAAATTTTTTTAAAAAAAAAAAAATTGAGCACTACAGCAAAACAGAAAAAACATCTACTGTTTAAAAAATAATTATGTTTTATTATGCAACTATGTAATGATTGGTTATATTAATTAACATAATCTATACAAATGTATTTAACAATACGCTGGGACGTATTTAACAATACGCTGGGGCTTTAAAGTTTTTTGTTAAAGTGCTTTTATTTTTGTTACACCTGTTTTCATGGGGGGTTTTTAAAATAATGATTTACTTTTTTAGCAAGAAGAAAATCAATTAACAAACGAGCAAGTATTCCAGGATCGCCAATATCAAGTTTGTTATGTTAAATTTTAGAATGGCATTTTTTTTTTAATTTTTTTTTTAATTTTTATTTGCTTTTTAATTCTTTTATTTACAAGATTGATGCAGCAATTGTTCGAATATTAAAAACCCGGAAAAGTTTAATTCATAACCTCCTCGTCACAGAATTATACAGTCAACTTAAGTTTTCCGTAACGGTTAGTTTTTAAACTACTTTTAATATTGAGTTTTTATTTAATGTTTGGTTTTATTGGTAACATTTTACATAAACATTAAAAAATACGCCATTCCGTGTAGCTTGTTGCTTTTTATTCAAAAAGATAAGGCTACTCAGTGTAGTTAAGGCCGTTTTTAATAATTATAACGCCTGTATAATATTTTGCTGATTACAACATATTTCCGTTGAGTCATCAGGTCTGTGAATCATGAAAAGACGAAAAAAATTTGCTGTAACATAAAATAAAAATGTTTGTAGCGATAAAGACCCAGACCGATCGATTAAAATCGTGATCGCTTGTTCAAATTTGAATAAGATTTTAAATAAATATGCTTTTTAGGTGAAATGAACATCATTGTTTAATGATATGATCGTTTATTGGCAGTTTTTCTTAACTATAAGCTTTTTCTTGGTCGGAATTCTAATATTTTTTTGTGAAAATTGATGGAAATGTTGAGTTTTGACAATTATGTTAAATTAATATATGTTAGAACTGAGTAGAGTAAAGATCTATTAATAAAGATCTAAAGGCCGAGGGGTAATAAAAAAGTTTTGAAAATTATGTAAAAAAAAGAAAAGTTTCTTTAAACATAAAAACTTTTTGCAATAAAAATTATTGCATCTTAAACTCTTGTTTGTACATAATACGCTGACAATTTATTTGAATAACTTAAAAATCGCCTTAACTACACCGAGTGCTTAGTCTTTTAATAAATTTTTTTTTTTATTTGTTGATCTCAGTTTTGGTTAATAAAACGTTTACTCGCTAATTCTTTTTCTTATTTACCTGGCATCTATTTTATTTTTACTTTAAGTTTGAAAGGAAACAATTAGATATCTCAAAATTTTAGTTTTCTCTATCTTTTATATTAGTCATAAAAATAAATTTGGAGCATAATTCGGTGAGATTACAACAACTAAAACATATATACATACACATACATAAACATATATACATACATAAACATATATACATACATAAACATATAAACATACACATACATACACATACATAAAATCAATAGTTTTTGGGGATCGCGAAATTTAATACATTTAATACGACAATGTATGAATAGTTGGGCTTTAGAAATGCGCAAAATAAATTCCTTTGTATTATGAGTGTTTTGGCTCAAAATGAGCAACGAGCAAAACAAATGTCTTAAAATATCTTAACAAGTATTAAACGTTTTTTCAAAATACAAACTTATAAAATTTGAGTGTATGAACACATGAATCTCTCAAGACGTACTTGTGCAAAATAATAATAATTTTTTTTTTTTTAAATTTATTATCAAAATTATGATGCTAATGTTCAAATACATCTTAATTTTTAAGAGTTGCTAATTATAAAGCAGAATGGATGAGATTTAAAGTAAAAATTACTAATTACCTTTCTGACAAAATAACAACTTAACCTCTGCCCTGCGCAACTTATTAAAAAATATATTTTCAATGCAAATTTTTTTATTTATTTTGAAACTTTTCTTGACTCAGTTGCGATATTTCAAAATTAAGCAAAATTAATTTACGGTGTAGTGTGAGATTAAATTTTTACTCCCCAGTAAAAATCTCAAATTAAATTTTAACTTTCAGGAGATTTTTACTCCCGTAAAATATTTAGCGACTTAGTTGTATTTTGGATTTTTTTTTTTTAACATTTAAAAGATGATTGTTGTTTCTTCACAATAAAGAAGCGATTATACTTAATATCAACATTTTCTAGTGTTTAAATCAATTGCAGATATTATTTTTTCCGAATATTTCAGGAATTCCGGATATTTTCTTCAACTTTAAGATTTTCTGGATATCCAAAACGTTTTCCATACATACAAGTTTAGGTGTATATTTTTGTAATATTCTTCTTTTTTTAAGCTTTTTCCACTCATCACTCATACTAAACTAAGGAAAGTTTGAAAATAAATTAGAAACAATTCAGTTAAAAACAAAATCAAGAGGGAAATATGTTCCGGATTTTTTCCGGATATTTTACCCAAACAATTTTCCGGATTTTTAAAATATGGTCTGGATGAACTAGGCAATTGACAAAATGCCTAGATCATCCAAAATTTATTAGCAAACAAATTTAACTTAACTCTTTGTTTTAAACTTCGTAAAACTATTACATATAAAAATATTTAAAAAAAAAAAACTATAATAACTGCTTCTTCAGAACACAGATTTTGCTTCATTAATGGGGGCAGATATCCAAGTATACAGTAAACATGGAGCGAAAAAAAAAACAATAATTGAAATTAAACAACAATATTCAAAACTCGTGAAATAAATACATGTGCAATTTCGTGAAATAAATACATAAGTAAGTGCATGTTTTTAATTGTTAATCAAAATACTAAAATGGATTTTATTCCATTCCTAACCAAAAAAATCTATTTTTAATGTATTTCGTTGTTGAACTGACGCCTATGAGGTAAGATAATGCGTAAGCCTCGTTATAAATATCATTAGCATTATTACAGACTAAATTATATGGTGTTGCTCTTCTTTACACCAAATAGCTTTTCTCTCTTTTAAAAAAAAAAAAGTATTTATTTATTATATTGATTTTGAAATATTATTTATTATATTGATTTTTCAAAAAAAATGTATTTATTTATTAAATTGATTTTGAAATATATACAATTTATTTATAGTATTTTCTAATAAAAATTTATTTATAGGAAATAAATATTAAACTGGTATTATAAAATTATAAAAGAATTAGAAAATTGGAAACATAGTAACGTGGTTTAAACTGTATGTAACATCTTACAGTGTACAATGTACACTGTATAGTACTTGAACATAAAAACAGTACAAATGAACATAAAAACTCATTTTTTGATGTTTATTTGGTTTCTAATACTTTTATCAAAAAGCATTAATCACAGGGATTAACATTTAAGGAGTAGGTTCTCTATTTGAAACCTACACGCCAACTTTTATGTGTTTCGAGAGGATTTTGAACTCGGAACCCCTAGATTACGAGTACAACACTCTATTACTCTAGTACTGTGCTACGCCTACTAAAGTGGCTTTATTATCATGTAAAACATGATACATAAACATAAAAATATATGTATTTATCTCAAATTACGCTATTTTAAAAAGCTATAATTATATAAACTGTTTATCCTAACACCAGGTTTACCCGGATGATACAAATCATCTTCAATTACAAAGGACTTTATTTTTCTTAGAAAGTTTGATTTAACAACTTTTTTATTTTTATTTTTAATTATAAACGTCGGCATCGCTATAAAAGTATGCATCGCTAAACTTTTAACAATATATTTGCTACTACATTAAAAGATTCGCTTCTTTATTGCTTTTCAAGAAACGCAGTACCTAAAACCTTTAAAAGCATTCACAAAAAACAACGTGGTTTGATTGGAAAAATACGTTTTGCCCTAAAATATCTTATTGAAGTAAAATTCTTAATGGGAATAAAAATTTAATATGAGATTTTTATTGGGAAGTAAAAAATTTAATAAGCGGTTTTTACTGGGGAGTAACAATTTAATATAAAATTTTTACTGGGGAGTAAAAAAAAAAGCGAGAATAATAATCTCATACTACAACGGGTTGGCGAGCTAAAATACCTATGTCATGAATAATAACTAGGATCGTTCGACCCTAGAATCGTTTTGTGGTCGTTTTGTCTATTGTTATTTTGTTTAAATCTTTTTTATAAAAAAAGTTAAATAAACTTTATCTTTTATAGACTATATTTTTTTTATCTTAGCCCTCCGATATTAAAAAAAGAATTGAAAGTTTGATAGACAGGGATTACATGGAACGAGATAAAGATAACTCCAATACTTACCATTATATTGCGTAAATTTGGAATCGAAAAAATCTGAACGTGGTGCTGATATCATATCAGGCGTGTTTTTTTTATGCTTGACTTTCTTTTGAACGGATGTTAAAATAAAAGTTCGGCCAGCTGTTGCTGGAGTCATTGATGATACTATTTGTGTCATATTTAGAGAAATGGCGTTGTATAACGTGATCCTCTTAAAAACGAATTATTTACGAAATTGGACCTTTTTTATCCTGTTTTGTTAGCTAGGACTTTTAATGGGTTTAAATTCAAGTTATTGGCGACCTGAATAAATAAAATTGTTGGATAACTGTCTTAACAGTTGCAGGATTAAAAAGTCAAATCGTAAATACTGTTAAATATTTTTTTTATATACTAATATGTTTAACTGAATCGCAATAAAAATTTGTTGCTGCTGGCGATAAATTTATGAAAGAATTTTTTGTCTTTGTTTTCATCTTTATGTGTGTGTGTGTGTGTGTGTGTGTGTGTGTGTGTGTGTGTGTGTGTGTGTGTGTGTGTGTGTGTGTGTGTGTGTGTTATTTAAATTTTAAAAAAGTGAAGAAAAAAAAAATAAAGTTAACTCTAGGGAGAAAAATGTTCAAATTACAAACAAAAAGAAAACTGCCGGTAGTACTGTGTAAAAGATAACTGCCGGTAGTACTCGTAAAAGAAACTGCCAGGTATGTAGGTTTTAACGTTTTTTGATTAGTTAGATCATGGAAGGATCATGAAAGTTCATCGAGCCGCAAACATTAAAGCAATTTAAAGTCGTCTCGGGAGTATGCTTGTAACCGACAATAAAAAAAAAAGTTTTATTGTCGGTTTTTTATCAAGTTTCACTGGATAAAAAAACAACAAAATTCACTGAAATAATCTTTATTAAAACATTAAAAAATGAATTATTCTAGGGATATGCTGCAAATTTTAACCATTAGTAAATGCAATTATTCAGCAAAAGGTTTATTAAAACTCGGTAATTAAATAGAACCACTTGATTTTAAAAAGCATATGTTAGTTTAAGCTTCTTTTCTTGCTTCAAGTCATCACACGACATTAGATAAAAAAGACAAACAATTTTTAAAAAATTAAAAAAATTGTTTTCTAAATAACTAAAGTTTAAACTTTTATTAGCTGTATATCATAACTCCATTCATTCTTGTAGTACTCCATTCATTTAATATGAAGTTTATAAAAAAGTTGTTGTTTACCGTTACGTTGCGCCATTTTTAATGTTTTTCTAAAATATTATTGGCGAACCTATAAATACTATATTTTAAAAATACTATATTTTTAAATTATTTATAAACGTATCTATTTGCGTCAACGTATAAAGATTAAGCGTTTAAGTACAGTCTTGATGTCGTTTTCTTATTGTTTACAAAACAAAAAGTTACAAGCATAGTCCCGAAGAATTTCAATGCGGTTGAACTTCCATCTGTTTTATACTTCCATGAGTAGGCGTAAAAAGATATCAAGGCATATTGCTACATAATACAATTTACCATCAAAAATGTATTTTAAGTTACTCTTTATAATTAATTATAAAAATTTAATAATTTCCAATTGTTTAACCATAAAATATGAATAATTTACAATAATGTTTTAAACTCGCATAAATATGGCTAGGTGTCATTCATATAGTTAAAAACTAGTCAATGGAGTGACACCTAAAAAAAAAAATACAAAAAAAAAACTATAAATGAAACATAGAAAGAATTTAAAATAAAATATAGAGAGAAAAAAAATGAGCAATAGGGTAGATGAGGGTAATATGAGCACCTTAAGGGAAAATTGAACTATTTTCAAAAATTATTATGCTGGATCCAAAATCTTTGCGAATAAACAATTTTTTCTTAAAAACAAAAAGGTTTTTAAAAAGTAGCAAAAGTGCTCATATTACCAAGACCACTTGGTAATATGAGCACTTTAAATTAAATGTGAACTTCCAATTAAATGCTCATCCGCGGCGCTCTGTGATAAGTCACCTAATAAAAATGAAATTAAAAAAAAGAAATTAGCTCCAAAAAATAACATGAAGTAAAAAAATACCAACCTGAAAATTAGCACTATTTTTTGGAATATAATAATTTGTTATTAACAAAACTTATCAAATTTTAAGCCACTTTTTGTTGAGACAATTCAACCACGTTTAATTTAACGTTCAAAAAATTTAAATTTTTTGAATTTATATTACAGAAAAGTATTTAGTATTGTTATAATTATAAAATATTCAAAAAGGAATTAAAACCACTGCTATTTTAGGACTTTAAACTAAGTAATTTCAATGAAAAACTGCGTAATTTGAGCATGTTCATATCTATAAATATCTATAAATATAGATATCTATAAATAAAGTCAAAGCTAAATGTTTCTTTGTGTTGTTTTTCAAACAAAAATGGATTGGATTTTTAGCTGACAAATTTTTCTTTATGAAAAAATAAATTTCGTTATTTTAACACCAAAATTTCCTGCCGCAGATTTATTCATGCGTGTACATAATACCCCCACCTCCCCTCCACCTCCCCTCCTCAGTGTCGTCGGCCCTGCAAAGCAACTTTAACTTCACTTCTTACATCTAAAAAGTCTTTAATATGCTTATTGAATTTTTTTATTATGTAAAGTTAATTTATTTTATTATTTTTTCACACTGACTGAATTTTTTTTATTTAGGTTTTTTAAGTTTTTACACTTTCGACTTAATTAATTTTGTACTTTTGCACTTATACTATTGAAGTTAAAGTGCAAAAGTATACAAAGTAAAAACAAAATTGCATCGTTTTTCTAATTTCAAAAATCTGTAACTGAATTGAATTTACTAAACTTATAATAGCAAAAAATAAAACAAACGAGAAGCTTTACACTGAGGAGACGATAAAAAACGCATTGAATAAGATTGAAAAAGGCGAGTTAAGCTTAAGAGACGCAGCTTAATTCTACCGCATACCAAAATCAACGTTATCCGACCAAAAATCAAATAAGACTTTCATAGTTGGTAGTGGCAATACAACAAAATTGATTTAACCTTTGAGTTAACCTTAGTTCACTTTTTCAGATGTTTGGCGATAGGGTTTTGGTAGACGATTAGATTACCCAAGCAGCAAACAATATTGGCGCAATATTGGCGCGATATTGTCTACAATATTGGCGCAATATTGTAAACTATATCGCGCCAATATTGTAATGTCAACATTTTGCCAATATTGGCCAATATTGGCGGTACAATATTGCGCCAATATTGTTAAGTCAATATTGGCCAATATTGGCAAAATGTTGACATTACAATATTGGCGCGATATCGTTTACAATATTGGCACAATATTGTAAATATAATACTGGCCAATATTGGCGTAATATAGTTATAGTGTTTTTAGCGTTAAACAATAAAATGTTATTTTTTTAAATTTTTTTATTTATTTGCCAGAATATGTACAAGATAAATTTACATTGAATATATTACCGGCAAGGTTTCTAGAAGATCACAGTTCCATCTAATATGTAAAATAAATACAAAAAAAATTGGGAATTTAAATGGGTTAAAAATACAACACAATGTTCTATCTAATATGTAAAATACAAAAAAAAAATTATATATAAATAAATACAATGTTCTATGTAATATAATATAATATATTATATCAGGTAGAACATTTTATGTTTTTATATTTATATATACTTTTTGAATTTATTTTATATATTAGATAGAACATTTTATTTATTACGTTTGAAGATAGAACAAGATAATACAGAGGGGATGAATTGTTTAACCCGAAAGAATATTGCAGCCTTTAGTATAGACTATAGTCTATACTATATTTTTGTATATAGTTTAGACTATAATTGTATATAACTTGAGTTATAGTTCAGAAGGCGATACTAATCTAGGAACGCTTTGAAAAAATAAGACTTTTTAAAATCTAATAATAAATTTATTAGAAGTTATATTAAACTGATACAAATGAATATATATATATATATATATATATATATATATATATATATATATATATATATATATATATATATATATATATATATATATATATTACAGCATTACACTCTCACTATCCCTCAATAGTGGGCTTTGCTTAATTGCGGTTCTATTCTTTCTTCTGCCTTCTCTATCAATGGCCGTTGCCAGAAAGCTGCCGATTCTTTCTTTCTTTAATGCTTTTGTCATTAGCGTTTTCAAACTTTTTTTTTATGGCATCTGCAAACAAACTTTAAGTTAATAATGTTAAACAAAACATGAACAAAATGTAATATTAAAAATTATCAAACTTATTAATTCAACTAAATACGAAGATAAATAATTAAATAAATTACCTATAACCACCTTGCAGGACGTAAGAGACGAAAATAATTTCTTTTGTTTATTGCCATACATAGAGTATAATAAGCATACTTTTTTAGCCATTAGTTGTTTTAAGATAGCCGTGGTAAGTTGCTTGTAATCGTCGCCTCCAACCGATGCAAGGAAGTTCATCTAAAACAAATAAAACAGAAAAAAATCGAGTTTGTTTACAAAAATATATAATTATAATTGGTTGTAATAAAAGTTTAATGGTTCCATAAATGTGTGTATTTCGAACGGGTTTCCATAATGTTACAACGTCATTTTTTAGAATGAGATATTCAAATATGACATGGAGAAAAAGCAATTTGTTATAAATCGATGCAATCTCTGAGGTCAACCTGTTTTGGTGATCAAGACTTATTGTCATAAATGTTTTATAAAGTGATAAACACTAGGAAGAATACTACACAAAATTTCATACAGGTTTATGAGCTTCTCATACCCCTACCAATAATTAGACAATATATTGTGTAAAAAATCTGATACTATAGTATCAGATTTTTCATTCACTAGCATAAGTTGTCTTTACCACAGCAAAAAAATCGGGGTGAATGCAATTTCAAGTATTTAATGTGAGGCTCCCTATGATTAGTAGGCTCATTGCTCTACTAAATGAGCTAACTGGGCATAAATAGTTAAAACCACAACACAATTTAATAAATATACTTTATATAAAGCATTCTTTTCCATATCTTAATTAAAATCAAATGTATAGTATATTTTATAGCATAGATATGTTAAATGCACATGGAAATGTTTATAAAAAATATTAACTGATATCAATTCACTGATACATACCATAGGTGTTTCGTAATTTTTCATCCAGGTCTAGAAAATCTTTTTCCTCTTTAACAGGCAAATAATTCCATTTAACTGATGGGGATGGTCCAGCTATGCTCTGATTGCTAACAGAAGGAAACACTAAACCTTTTTCTAAATTGATTAGGCGAGTGTTTAACTTTTTCAAATTGTATTGAATACTGACAAGCAGCTCTAAACTTTTCTTCTCAAATGCTGCAATAAAAAAATAAATCTGATTTTAATAAAAAGCCAAATAAATAGATTAGCTTTTTATAAAGTCAACACAAAAAACTAAGAAAAAATAGTATAATTACATTTAAAAATATATTAAATGTTTACATTTAATTAAATATTCAAACAAATAACCCATCAATGTAATTCTTTACCAGCAAATCGGGTGCCTAAAGCAGCCAAAACAGTTGCCAGGTATGGTCAGAAGAGGAAAATATCGGTAGAGAACGATTCGAACTAAATAGCTCAATATCTCGAACAGTTGTGGATTGTAAAATATTTTGGCAATTAAAAGATTTCTTCAATCTTGGGGAAACTGATGGATATGTCTCCTCAGTGTCACTTGTTTTGCAAACTGCTAACTTTTTAGCTGGTGGCATGGACAATTTTTCATTACCATCAGCAGCTGTTTCAACGCTTGATGTGAACTCTAATGTTTCCATTCGTTCTACAGCAGTTTTATAACTGTCTAAAAAATTTAAAGAAAAGATAAATATAGCTGTTCAGATCATTAGCATCTAGCATGTGTGTAACATAAAATTACACAAGGAATAATAACATAATAACGATAGATAACATGGCACACATGCATTTTTTTTTCATCTAGAAATTCAACCACAGCAAATTTTTTAAACTTTGCTGCCATCTTCAATTTTACTGTACAACATGTGTATAAAAAAAAACATAAACAAATTTGAAAAAATAAAAAAAATTACCAAGCGTAAAAAAAAAAAAAAAGTTTTTAGTTTAGTGGTTCCACACTTGTGTGTAGTGAGTGACTGGGGCCCCAGCCCCCGCCAAATTTGGGTCTTTTTACAACCCCAGCCACAGCTAAATAATAGTTCTAGCAGGAGTTATAAGATGGGGCTAGCAATTTTTTTTATGCTATTTTATTTTTTAAGCTATAAAAGTTAAATAA